AACCCCCAGCCACCATTCATAATCTGAATTCTCCATCCGAGGATGCTATCTTAGGTGACATCATCCCTAATATCATTATTAAGCAACCAGCTCATATCATCTCTCCAAATAAGTTTGATGTTTTATTAGATACCCAAATTGAAGCTACTTCCACTTCCTCTACCTCTCTAAAAAAGGATTCAGCAGCAAAAAATAGCCCTAAAACCATTACTCAGAAAAATCCTACTCTCTCATTCAAAAAATATCAGAGACAAGCATTCCAAAAAGCCTCAAGTCACCTCATTCAAATCCCAATGACCCTTCCTTCCATAGCATCATGGAATATTAGAGGTTTTAACAACCCTAGCAAGGTTATGGTTTGCAAACGCTTTATCGAGGAGCACAAATTGGATATGCTCTGTTTATTAGAGAATAGGATTCATCTTGAATCTATCTCTGATCCCTGGTTCTTAAACTCCCACTTGGTCTTCAACATGGAAGAAAGCTGTAATAATTTTTCTTTTGCTAGTTTAGATAGAATCTAGATTAAATGGTCTGTTAGCAAAATGGACTTCTCTCCCACTTTCATGTCTTATCAATTGATTAGTGGTTTGGTTACTTGTGGCTCCCCTCCTGCTTTTTTAATATCCATTGTTTATGGATCTAATTCTGTAGAAGGTCGTCACTTTGGCAACAAATTAGAGAAGTCAAACCAAACCATTCTATGCTTTGGATTCTTATTGGAGACTTCAATTGCTACAGATTTCAACATGAAAAATCAGGTGGTTCTACTTTGCATACTAGCAGGCTTGGGGATTTTAATTCCCTTATATTTGATACCCAACTTTCTGATCTGGCATCCACTGGCCTCTTTTACACTTGGCTTAATCACTAATTGGAGAACCCATTTGTATCAAGCTGGGAAGGACACTTGTTAATGATGACTGACTGTCTCATTACCCCAACTCCCATTATATAATTGGTGATCCATTATGCTCTGTTCATTCTCCTCTGATAATCGTTGATGGTACCCGACAATGCATGGCTGCTCATTTCTAATTTAAGAATTTTCGGACTTTGACGAATGAGTACTGGAACATCTTACTTAATGTGTTTATGACCCCTACTATTGGCAATCCATTAACTGATTTTACTCATAAACTCAATCGGGTCAAAGCCCTTATAAAGAGTAATTTGTGGGCATATGTTAATTCCATTGAGAACTCCTAAAACATCCTTCAGGAAAAGCAACACTATCCTAATTCTATGTTGGACAATGATTATAATAATCCTCAAATCAATATTGCTTTGAAGACTGTCAATGGGGAAATTGTCAATTTAATGACCTCTTGAGCTTCTTGGATTTATAAACGTGCCAAGGCCAAATGGTTAAAGGAGGGTGAGGATAACCTCAAGTTTCTCTACTCTAAAATTTGTTTAAGGATTAACTTCAACAATTCCACTTTATATAGTGCTTTGGGAGAGGGCAATTTTTGTAATGCTAAGGAAGCTATAACTATTCAGTTCCATAACCTATACAATTCTAGCTCCTTACCCACTCCGGATGTCTCTATTTTTCCTAAAGGGAAGGTGGTCCCGCCTCATTTGATATCTCTTCTTTCAGACCCCATTTCTACTAAGGAAATTAAAAAAACTTTTTTTTCAGGTGCCACCTCTTCTTCTCCAGGCCCTGATGGTTTCAACTTCCATTTCTATAAGACGGGGTGACATATTTTGGGTCCTTCATTATGCAAAGCAGTTTTGTCCTTCTTTGACAAAGGTTACCTACCCAAAAGCATTAAAGCCACTGCTCTTGTCCTCATCCACAAATCCTCTCACACCACTTCAATTACGGGCTTCAGACCTATTTCCTTCTGTAACACCCTTTATAAGATCATCTCCAATATCTTAGCTTCCAGACTTAAACTCATCATGCCCATTGTTATCAATCTGGCACAAGCAGGTTTCAATTAATAAATGGATCTCTACTGACAATGTGATCCTAGCTTCTGAGCTTTTGGGTTTTTTCAGGAGGTGTTCTAATGCTAATTATATGTGTGCAAAACTAGATATCAAAAAAGATTTTGATACCATATCTAGAAAGTTCATTTTGCAAAGGATGGCGCAAAAAGGGGTGCCTCAAAATTTCAACAGGTGGGTTAAATCCTACATTACAAATGTTCATTTCTCTGTTCGTCTTAATTATGGTTTGGAGGGCTTCATCTCCTCCAATATTAGCATTCGTCAAGGCTGTCCGTTGAGCCCATATCTGTTTGGTTTTGCTTTGGATACTTTCTCTTGTCTATTAGACTACTATGATGGGAGCAGTGGATCCCAAGCTGTTGGCACTAATGGATTTCACTTATCTCATCTTCTCTATGCAGATGATCTTCTTGTCTTTGGTTAAGCCAACATTGATAATAACAACACCTTATTCAATTTGTTGCAACCTTTTTGTGGGATCCTCTGGTTTAAAAATGAATCCAGATAAGAGTGCTATCATGCTCAAACCATCCACTCCCCATGCTAATGAAATATGTGTTGCTCTTCATATTCCCACCTTATATTCTAAACTCATTTACTTGGGAATTCCTATCTCCATCAAGATAACTCTCATCTCTTATTTCTCTCACCTCAATGATATTATCACTAACAAGGTTTCAGGTTAGAAAGCAAAATCTATTTCTTTTGCAGGTAGACTTTAGTTCCTCCGATTTACTATATGGAATACAATTGCCTATTGGATTCGAGGTGTCATCATACCCAAAACCTGTTGTAAACAAATTGCCAAAATAGCCACAAAATTACTTTATTTTGGGGATCTTCAAGTCAAGAAAATTCATTTGGTGTCTTGGAGCAAGACGTGCAAGCCGAAAAACAAGGTAGGTTTGGGGCTTCCCACCTTCCAAGCTTTGAGATATTCTTTTAATTGCTCACTGATTATGAGAATTTACAACTGCTCCTCTCCTTTGTCCTCATGATTTCTAACTACTTTCAGCTCTCCATGGAAAAATTCGCCTCCCACCTCTTCTGCGATGTGGAAAAGTATATGCGAGATTGTTATCTTAGCCAAAAATAATTTTGTGTTTAAAGTAACAACTGATTCTCCTATTAGTTTAAAATGGGATCATTGGTGTGATGGATACCGTCTCCTAGAGCTTCAACATCACCAATCTCTTACTTCCTCTTACCCTGATGTTGCTTTACTTACCCGCTTAATTAACTCTTATGGATAGACTTTCCCCTCAGGCTGTCACGTTGATATTCAGAATTCTATCTCTAAAATCCACATATATACGACAGCGTCCTATGCTTAAGTTGGGTCGATGGTAAGATGGCTAAGTTTAATACTTTTTTAAACGATTACTATAAATCTGAAATGGATGTGACTTGGCACAAATCTGTGTGGCACAAACATTATGCCCTTCGCTTCTCACTATTTGGCTGGTTCTGTTTTTCTGGAGGTCTTAAAACCTTTGATTCTCTCATCCGAAGGAACTTTGACGTTGATCCTATATGTAGTCTCTGCAATTCGAAACACGAAAGCTTATCTCATCTATTTTTTGACTGTGATTTCGCATTTGCTATTATTTTTGAACCGATTCGTACTTTAAGAATTTTTCTCATGAGGCCAAATCTTAGTATAGTGGTGGAATTTTTGGTGGATGACATCTATTCTATGGGATATAAGAGGAATTTTGACTTGATTGTTCTTTGGGCTGCTATCTACTTCATTTGAAGGGAGCGAAATAATAGAAAATTTAACAAGCATTATAAGATTTCCTCCACTAGTCTCATTATTATTAAAAAGGCAGTAAGACTCAAACTAGCAAAATGGAAAAATGGTAATGAGCTCATGCTCATGCTGTAGAGCCGCAAGCTTGCAGGTTTTGGGATATATCTGTTTTGTTGGGTTTCATGCACGAATGGATATTACTGGGCGATGATGATCGAGTTGCATTCTTATCCCTTTTGGACAACGATTATTTTGAACTTCTATTGGATGGCATCTCTGCAAATAGGGGATGGTGCCGGAATTTTCTGAATGCAACTTTTATATATTTCATGAGCCCACTTCCTCTGCTGAGGATTATTTTTATGGTGCCGATCTTTCTTTTTTGACATGTGTAACCTCTTGTTTTGACACCCTTTGGATGAGCTTTTTGCTTTTTTCAGGACTCTTCCTCACTTTTGTTTTTTCTCCTTTTACACATGTAACTAATTCTCTTTTCATTATAATGGAATTTGGGCTTTGCCCACAATTTTCCAAAAAAAAAAAATTGTTTATAAAATAATGTAAATATAATTTGTAATTTTTATTTGTATAATAATGTAAATCACTAAATGTGTTGTATATTATTAGTACTTATTAGCATTTTGTTAGTATTCAAATAAATTAAATTAGTGTTAGTATTTTGTTAATATAATTGGTTATTTGTATTCATTTAATCATTTATAGTTGCTCAAAGCTTCAAACAAATAAATAATTATTTTTGATTGATTAAATAAATAATTGAGAACAAAAAAATAAATAATTATGATGAGGATGTATTTAAGTTTATTGTATTTTATATTTTTAATTAAATTACTTAAAATCTTAAATAAATCTAAAATAAAAAATACCAAAAACTAAGAGCAAAACGGGTTGGCGGGTCAATTTGGGTTGACCCGAATCGGAACCTGAAACCGAACCAGGTCGGATTTCGATTAGAATTCCCGACTCGTTTTTAAAGTTGAGTCAGGTCAATTGAGAGGGGTCAAGTTCGAGTTAAACTCGAATCCGACCTAATAACCCTTTTTAACACCCCTACTTTTTAGTCTTCATAACTATGTACTTATATTTTAGTGAGAAATAATCTATAAGATTATAATATTATAAGTAATGTCGTTGGGAGCTTTGACTATGAACCAAGAGATCTTGATTTTAAGTTTTGCATATATGATGATGTGTATAAATTTGACTTAATTGATCTATATGTCAAAAAAAAAAAAATGTAAGTTCACTCAAGCACCATGCACCATGCACCATGCACAACACTGAACAGTCTAAGGGTATCTAACGAGCTCTCAAGAAGCAGGTCGAGTAGAGTCGGAGATCGATGTCTCTCATCCTGCATTCAACGTCTCCCTTCCTGATTCCCAAATATCGTAACCCTTCAAACCCTATCTTCTGTTCTCCGACCTCCAGCTTCAAAGTAGCAACTATTCTCTCCTCCTTTGGCCCCTTGGCCATCGCCCTAAGTCTTACCTCTCCTCTTTCTTCTCTAGCTTCCTATCCCTTTGCTTCGCAGAACTTTCCCATTTCCACCACTCCGTACTCCCAATCCCAGAGTTTGAATCTTGGATTGGAAGATGGGTGAGCCCAAAAATCTCATTTTTTTTCATCCCATTCTAGTTTTTTTAGTTCCATGTCATTAGTGCAATTCTATGTTTTGCAGAAAGATTAGGCCTTGTCCGTCCACTAATCCAGGTTGTGTTTCTAGTAATCCGAAGTCGTCTTCATTTTCTTTTCCATTGGCGATTCCAGAGGACTTTTTAGAGAACCCTGTGCAGGTGACTTTATTTTTCTATATGATGATCAAGTCTTTTCTTTTTTCTGACGTAGCAATTAATATTTTTTTATTTTACATTGGATTTCTTAGAAACTGCGGGATGCGATACTTAGAACGCAAAGAAATGTGAAGTTTGAGGTCGATGAAGAAACCCCATTTGGTAACATGAACAGTATTTAGCTTATTTTTTTTATATTTAAAAGTTCTCTTCACAATGTGGAGGTTTTGCTATTTTATTTGCATGCCTAAATGATGCAGAAAGTCTGGGTATTAAGCACAACATTTCTCAAAAATTGCGAGGAGTATAGGCTTTGAAAATTAATTCAAATACTTCAAGAAAAAAAAAAACTAGTTTGATTTCCAGAATAGTTTGTTTTGATTTTAATTTTAGCTAACTTGATTTTTAATGATTCTCCCAACAAGAAATTCCTATTATTGGAAACACAGCTTGAACATTGTTTTGAAACTATTTGGGCTCGATCTTGGCACCAACCTGTAATGATCAAAGTCGAATCACGAGTCCTATTAATGAAGCAAATTCAATAAAACAAGAACTGGTACCATAGAGAAGCCGCCATGAACTATAAATTCTTGACCAATTCAAGAGATCATTCAATGTAGTTGAAATAATTGAATTGGGGATTGTTTGGTTTAGTAATGGAAACTCAACCAAATTCGTAACTGTTTCAATATCATCCTTTTCGTCGCTTTTATTTTGATTTTCTAACTTATTAATATAAAAAATTTGATATAATTTGAAAATTTATCTATTTTGGGCATTTCTTGTGATGTAATTTTATCATATGCAAAGATTTTAGGGGAAAAAATGACCTGTTTTTATGTAGAATTGCCTATCAAAACTGAATACAATGAATGCACAAAGTAATGATGGAGACCAAGCACCATAAGAAGTCACCAAAATTTATGCGGAGTGGCCAAAATTTTCTAATTAATTCCCTGAATCTTCTTTGTTTTAGGTATTTCTACAACCACTTAATCCTAGGAGTTGCAGGTAAATTCCAAAGAAAATTCATACAAACTACCTTCTCGCCTCATGTGTATAAGGCATTTCTAGGAATCCTTAAGCAGGTGATCACAAATCTAAATCAAATTCAAAGTTTCAAAACCATCTAAAATAACAAATTATACAACAAAATTTCCAAAAACTTGTTTATCTAAAAAAAGGATAATTTTTTATGCCAAAATTCACTTATTTGAAATTTGTTAGATCATGACAAACTTTGAGTCAAAATCCTAACAATTTGCACTCTGGACTAAAAAAAATACGGCAATACATTTGGATATGCTCTATGACTCTTCTCTAAATCCATGCTCGCAATACTCTGAAAGCACAATGCAACCTCAGTGAATCCCAATTGATGGAATAACATAATACTCATGAGATACCTTTGAACATGTTTTTTGCACATAAATATAGATTTATTAATAATGAAAATTATTTGTAATTTGTTGACCCTATGAGCCCACTAAGTGGATAAGGTTATTTTGATGTTGACAAATATATTGTGGAAAAATGATAAGAAGAGGCTCACAAAGAAATCTATCCCTTAATTAAGTTATTTGTGTAAAGGAAATATAAAGCAATGTGTGCATAATAATAATTAAATAATGTATTAAAAACTACATCATCAATATCTTTATTCTAGTGTCCCCTTCAGCATCAAGAAGGAAAACTCAATGTAATCATGCCAAAATAAAGTATATAAAAGAAATACAAACATAAACATTTCATAATAGAAAGTTCATACACTTGTATAAGAGATTTTGCTACATAAAAAATGCAGGACATTTCTTGCAATGTCATACATTATAAAAATTTAAGAAGTATGAAATAATATTATAATAATTATAGCCTCAACGGTAACTACAAAGTAAGAACCCTCATTCTCATCATTTGGAAGAGGAGCATTTGGGACAAGACCATTGACCTACATCCAATTCGTCTTCCAGTTGAGTATTCCAAGAGGAAAAAGTCTTTATCCTACTTTGAGTGAACCCTTTGAAAATCTCATATTGATTAGGATAAAATTGTTGAAACATTTCAACAATGTCTTCATACTCCATGGAGTGTAGATGATTGGATTGTTTTTACTGCAAATGATGAGCTTTCATCCTTTTCTTTTGCCCATTGTGGTGGTGAAAAACAGCTTATTCACCTTCTTCTTCTTCTCTTTAATCATCATCAACATCTTGAACTTTTGCGGCTACTTGTCAAACACCTAATCTAATATTTGGAAAATCCAACAAGAAGACAGCTTAGTGTCATCAGCATGCATATGAAGGACATTCAAATCATGCTAAACAAGTATTCAATAATGTAGTTGGGATTAAATTTGGGATACAAGTGAAATTAGGATCTTGAATATGAGAGATGCTCTTGATGATGTCAATAAGATCATTAACAATATCAAACTGAACATGCAATATGACAAGTGAAAAAGCAAGGTGATATGAGAACGGTCACCATCCTTTTGTAGCATAGTCTATCATAGAGCATATACTAAATTGTCATTGGAAATTGTGATTATTTATTTCTAAAGCTTTTAAACACTGATTTTATGTACCCAAAAATAATAGAACACCGATCCAAACCTCATTGTAGAATTAGAGCTCATTCTAATCATAATGGTGGTCTTTCTTGTTTTTTAGACATATCAAAAAGATTTCTATTCCCCGCGTAAAAATCAAGACTAGGATATGAGTTTAGTGGAAAAAGCCCTTTATTGGGTTTGAACCGATAACTTACGCCTCATTGTAGATTCTCGATGGCTCAAATGGTAAAATTGTTGTTTAAAACATCAAAATGACTTAACTGATCGGACTTGGTGCATGCAACATCGATGGTGAGATTATTATTGGATATTTAAACTAATGAGAATGAATTAGAGTATGGCATTAGATAATGTTCCTGTTGTCGATGCCTCAGACCAAGCCAAAAATATTTACACCATAGTCAATTTCTACAAGCAATGGAGCAGAATTGATGGTAACACCTTTGATATAGGGAAATGTATGATTTAACATGGGGTTGACTTGAAGGCTTCTACATCTAGAAGACGTGGACTCACCCCTTTTGAAGAGAGGGGTTCATTTCTCTTTTTTCTATAAACATGATGAAGAGAATAATAAAATGAAGAAAATGTAGCTCAAAATTAGATGAATTGAGAGTTTATTGATTTAGGTCCAAGACAATTTGAGTTATACCAACACAGTGAAATTATTCTTTTAGATAAAATTTATGGTTAGAGATTAGAAATGGGGTGGAATGAACATAAAATATGGTTTAAATGTAGTAGAGAATCAAAGAAAATCATTATTTAAGAAAAATTTTCCAAGGCGATGTTTTGGAGAAAAATGGATACTTGAGGACCTTAGATGATTGGGAGACAATGACTGGGGGATGAAAAGATTGACCTTAAGTTTAGGGCTTTAATGACTGAGCTAGTTCAGTTCCTAAGTTTGTTGTTCCTGATCCAAGTATCACTAGGTTCCGTTGCGTGATTGATGGGGCCCTTGTCAACCTTATTTTTTGCACAACAAAATAAGATGCACATCTTTGTCTCCTTTTTGGGATTAGGATTACAAACAAACTTTTAGGGGAACAACTTCACCTTTACATTATCAATGCCCAATAATGTTAAACCTCACACTGCATTATCTTTGAATTCTAAACAAAACATCTTTCTTTATTCACTCCAAAGCACAAGTGGTGTGGTATGATACCTAATCTTAGGTTTCATTTGGGACGGCTTTCTTTCTACTTCTTAAAGCAGCTTTCTAGTAAAAAAAAAAATTAATTTTTGTACTAAAAAGCTGCTTTAAATAGCAGTAAGAAAGCCGTCCCAAACGAAGCCTTAATCTCCTGATTAGGTGAATAAAAATTAACTTCTTACCAATACCACTACCAAGGTCTACAATGGCACTGAAAATAGATGTGTCTATGAATCTTAAAATTGAAGAGCTCCTCTTTTAGTTGTTCATTGCTTAGCAAGTGCCATTAGGGATAGTACTTCAGCTCCGTGCACGGCTGACAGTTATACCACTTCATCAGTTATGATCTTGAAGAGTTTTTTTTGGCCTACTTCGATTTAGCTTCTCTGAAGAAGCAATTTTCAATAGTTTTGGTCCAAGTAAACCATGGTAGCAATAGGGGTTTATGCTTGTGCTACTTCTCTTCCTCTAATTTCTCATCCAATGGCTTATGCTTTTGCTTGTTTTGTTAGCTTATCTCTGAGATATTCTTCCTTTAGAATAATTTTAGCTCTCTTCAGTTCTTTGTGATATAAAGATGAAATTTTCCACCAGCTAGATTCCTGTGACTATGGCCGGCCTATAGAATTCCATGGCATGGCGCAGCACAGATTGCCTGCATTTGTAAAGGTTGGAAATAATACGAACGAAATTTATCGTTGCTAGTGCTTGTGTTGGATGGTAACATTAATATTCATCTGGATATTTTTTGCGTGGCTAACAAAGAAATGAAGGCCGGTATGACAAATAATAGTTTTTACACGTTAAAGGTTCAGAGAACTAATGTGGAATAACCTTATCTAATCAAAGCAATCATACGTTATTCAAGGGAATTTGCCAAACTAGATTTAAGTTGTAATGCAGCTCTTGATTTGAAATGAATGGAGAAGCAACTCTCTGAGATTCGATTGTTATGGTGGTTTTTCTATGCCCCTTTACGTTTTGTTTGGGACGGTTTTTTTGTTGTTTCTTAAAACAACTTTCTAGTACAATATTTTAATATTTATATTGAAAAGATGCTTTAAAAAGCAGCAAAAAAATCATCCCAAATGAAACCTTAATTCTGTTATATGTTGAGAATTATATGTTGAGCAGGAAGAGAAGCATGATTATTTGTTATTTCCTTTCCATTATTTTTTAATATTAGTTATTGCGAATAGAAATGAAGCTTGAAAGAGTTGTGTAATACATTCCTATCAATCTAAATGGTTAATTCTTAACTGAATGGAAGTTCTCTGTATCAACAAATTTATTGTGACTTTTACTTGTGATACAAGAAGCAGACTTGTTTTCTAACTCTTTACTAGGGCGATATCTGCAAGTGGAGGTTGATGGGGGGTTTGGGCGCGATGTGATGGAGTTCTTGGTAAAGAAAGACATTGTTGCTTACAGATCCATGGCTACAAAGGTTACATACATATATCCATTCACTACAGCTTTAGGTGATTCTAAAGGCCAGGAAGAAAGAATGAACAAGATCAAGGTAGAGTTAGGCTGGTATTCTCCAAGTTTTGAATCTATGGATAATTAAATTTCTTCTAGCTTCAAAGAATAGTCTTTCTGGCTTTTGCTGGTAGGATATATGGAGGTGTATATACTTGCTAGAATCATGTTATTTATTATTTGTTTCACCTGACATAAGAGTTTAGGCAAAAGTGGCCTAAAATGATTCCTCATACAGAAATTGTGATACATTATTGGTATGAATTTAGTCTCTAATGGATCATTTTAGATCAATTCTATATGATTGATGGACTAAGGCTTCGTTTGGGACGACTTTTTTACTGTTTCTTGAAACAGTTTTTTAGTGCAAAAATTTTAATTTTTATAATAAAAAGTTGCTTCACGAAGCAATAAAAAAGCCGTCTCAAACGAAGCCTAAATTGGAGAAATGTGACACTCTGAGATTGAATTTATCACATAAGAAAATCAGAGGGTCATTTTCACCAAAGAATGATCCACAATTTCTTATTTTGTTTCAGTCTTCAACATCAGTTTATGATATTGAGTTTGTTCTCCCACTTCTGCCACTAACACTATCACCTTCTTCCTATTCAACGATTGTTCTTTGTTGCAGAAGCTTAATCCTTTAATTGTTCTATATACAACTTAGCTACTCATTCAGTTCACATCTAGATATATACCATATTCCTACAGAGTTGCTTGCATCTTTTTCTATTGATTATAAATCTATGCACAACCAGTTTTACCTCCAACATCATTATAGGAGAGATTATTTCGTGCGAAGACCGGACACAGAAAACCGTCCGGTTTTGTCTCTGTGAACAGTAAAGCATAGCAAAAGCACAATTATTGTTCATTGTTGTGCTTTTACTGTTTATAGATACAAAACATGAGGGTTCTCTTTGTCCGGCCTCCGCACATAATAATCTCTCCCATTATAGACACCCCTTAAACTACTTAAAGAAGAGTTTATTTTGGCTCAAGTGGTGTAAAAATTGTCCTTATCAATTTTAAACGAGTCTATTTGTTTTATGTGTTTTAAAGGTTTATGTTTTTTTAATAATGACATAATCTCCTTCATTATTAGCCTAATGATATTTCAAGTAAGTTTTATGAACCATAATTCTATTTAAGTGCTTTAGGTTTCTATTAGAAGGGATTAATGAAAATGATGAATGACATTTTGAGCTGAATATTTGAAAGGTGCATTCCATATAACAAATTTCCCTCTCCAACAATATCTTTCTTTTCTCTATTTGCATCATTAAACTAACCTCAGAGTGGGAATCATTTGATCAAACTTTGAATGAAAGGCTTTAATCTCCACCATTTGGTAATTTTAGCTAAACACAAAAATATTGGACAAGGAAGCACTAACCTTTACAATTTTATAAATAGAGCTCCAATTTGCTTCATTTGATAGGATTTTCTTTATGATTTTTAAGCTCTAATATGTATGTGGTAATATATAGATATGATAGTTGAAACCATTAACTATCAAACTCAACATTGAAGTGTTTATGAGTGGTGCAATCACCCCAATGATAGAAAGATTTCAGACATTTAGAAAGAACTTCAAATGTTCAGAGTGAAAGGTAAGCCCAGATAGAAAGAATCTACCTAGAAAGAAAATTATTTTGAGTTTAATTTTATAGAAAGATGCACATCATAGGTGACAATGTGGATGCACGTCATTACTAATAAAGTTGATTCGCACTATGCACCAATGTTAATATATGGGTAAATTATTCTGTGCAGTCACCAGACCATTTGGAGATGAATTATGATGCACCATATCACACAGTACATTGTAATACACAGCACCAGTACACAAAAAAAAAAGACTAGGCGCATACTGATTTTCCTCCGGACGGCATCCGATGACCGCACAGAATAATTTCTCTAATATTCGAGGCTAACACCAAGACTTTGTTTGGAATAACTTTAGACTAATATTTTTTTGTTGCTTTCAAGAAATTTTTGTACTAAAAAATAGTTTTACAAAACAGTAAGAAAGCCGTATCAAACAAAGCCTCATAAATTTTTTGGTTGCAAAAATCCAAATTTATTAAAGCTTATTTGAGTTAAAGTTTGAAAACTATTCAGTATGATAGGCGTTAAATCGGTTTCTTGGTTAACAGTTAGCAAATAGAAATATTAGTTAATATATTTATTTAAATAAAATTACTGGATACTGATAATTTTATTTAATTGTTTATAGGATTAATTAATATTACTAAATTTTATTTGATCGAAA